TTCCACACAAGAGTCTGATAGTTAGTTATATAGATGTACTCTCAAAATAGAATAAATGCTCTAAATCGGGAATAAGACTTGATATCACTCTGAATGTTTTTGGGGACTTCAATTTGTTTGCCCACACCGAGAAATTGGTCAGAGGAACGATGTGGAGTTTTTCGATGTCACTGTCACAAATCAGCACATCATAATTTGTGGTGTACTCAATCGAACCATGAGACTCTTTGAATAAGTTGATGTTGTAATTAGAAAGCTTGTTGACGATATCTTTGATTGTTAGTGTTGTTGTGAGGCAAACGTTAAATGTGTTAATAACAGAGCAAATGATATGATGAGTGTTTGTGGGATCGAATAGAAGTACATTAACTTCTACAAACACTTTTTGTGTGACTTGACTCAGTGTTGATATTTGTCCCGCCATCAAGAATGAGTCGAACGTTTTCTTAGCCAAGTCCACACACAAAATGTCATCAGTGATATACTCCGAGACACTTTTGTCAAGTGACATCTCGACTAAATTATAGAGTCCGTATCTCTTATAAAGTGTTAGAGAGTCATCAAATAATTCACCCAATTTCATAATAGTTTTCTTCAATTCCAAGCAGCTTAAATTACTAAGAATGTGTATTTCAAAAACTTGTGTATTTTGTACCATCACACAACAAAGAATTTCTCTTTCACTCTTCATTATTTCTTTGTCACAAAGAAGAGGCATTGTTTGAAACCCATTTGTTATTAATCTCTCAAAATATAACACAGTTTCATAATGAAGCATTCCCCATACTAAACTCGACCCTCGCAATATTTTAGTCTTTTTATTGCTATCAAAGAGTTTAAGAGTGTAATGTGTCCACTCTGAAGAATGTAAAGTGTCTTTAAAGACACCAATATGTGTCAAAAGTTGGTAGAAAAAATGTACCAAATCACACACCTTTGCAGATGAATTGTACACTATAGGCACACTCAAACTCCGATATCTGACAGTCAACGATCGGGTTTCATTTAACACGGGAAATAAGATCGAATTTTTTCTGTTGTTATCGACCCATCCTAAGATTTCCATCTCACCTTCATTCTTTGGACTATTCTCAGTAATGTCCAGAAACTCAATTGAATTTGCTAAAATAGTTTCTTCGTACCTTTTAATCTATACATTATTTTTTAAATTAATGACTTACTTATAGAAAAATAATTAAAACACCACATGCAAACCTCCATATTGTCAAAGTATTCAGAGTTCTTAAAAATATAACTTTTTGTTTTCATTTGATATTGATACATCACACGACTACATTTAAGAAATGGAAGCTGGTGGTCCACTATCACTAACGAGTCACCCTCTGTGTTTGCAAGTCGTGCTTCCGCCATATACCATTTTTTATAGTTAAGTAACTTTTTTTAATTTCGATTTTTCAGTGGAAAGTTTGTTGTTCTCTTTTTAATTGGTTTATAATTGTTTTTATTATATATATATACTTCATTCTATTGGAGAAAAGTTGCAAAACAATTTGTGTGAAAAAAAAAACACTGTACCATTAATTTAATTAAAATTTAAATCAAACTAGTTGATAATTATATTATATATATAATTATACCATATTTTTATTATATCATTTTTTTCATAAAATAAAGTTAATTGGAAAATATATTAAAAACAATAAGAAAAATTTAACTTTGCTTTTAAATACGAAAAATAGTAGATGCCATATTTCAAGGACTCAAACTCCAATTTCAAAACTCCCAAAGACAAAAAAGAACTTTAAAAAGTATATGAACATCTTCAAGAAGAAGGCGACAAGTCGTCCGACATCCCCTTCACTTCCTCCGCACCAAAAGTTTAAGCGGTCTTCTTGTGGTATTGCCAGCACCAAAAGTTCCGATATACCTTTTGAGACTATCGCTCTCTATTTCACAAATGTTACAGACGCAACTCGTCTGATGAAAGTGAACCGCAGCGTCCGCGCGTGTTATTATATAATGAAGAAGAATCCGTACTATTGTCAATCGACAGACTCTTCGTACAACAAAGAAACTATCTTTCAAAAGGAATTGTTGTTATTCCCAAATATAGAAATACTGAGGTGTGACGTGGATGTGGTCAAAAAGCTCGACGCCCGTTTAATAAGGAAAGTGACGACTATTGAGTTAGTCGGGAAATTCATATATGCGCCGCCGGGCATCTTCCAGAAGATTCAGAACAGCATCTCGAGTTTTGGATTCTACTTAGACGAGAATCTGAACTTCACATTTGACACCATGCACTTCTTACAAACACTTCATATAGACGTGAATAACAACACTGAAATGATTTACTTCAACAAATTCATGTTCTCGACTATTCAGAGTATACAACAACTCCCGTGCTTCCAGCGAATATTTATCGAGTGTAATGGAGATGACTTGTTTAAACTCCAAGAGATTTTAACGAAGTTTTACTCGACACGAATTACTTGTGTGTTGTATGTACATAACTTAAGAGAGAACCATATCAATAATATATCGGAACTATTGAAGAAGAAAAATGTGGTTATTGCGATATACGAGAATGAGTTGTCTGCTTCCTTTGACTTGCCGGAGTTGAAACTCTTGTTTTTGAATAACAACAAACTGGCGTTTGTCGACTCGATGCTCTTTTCGGATAAACTGAAGGAATTGTGTGTGTCCCACTACGTCCCACGACTTGACATCTGCGGATTTAAAGTGGGGCTGAACCCCAAAATTCCGGAAATTGATTTTTCGCAGTTAAATTCACTTCAAGAATTCAGACTGATCAATTCATTCTTCGAAAAGCCATTTTCTTTCATCTTTCCAACAAGTCTGACGAGGCTTGAAATAACAACGTCGGCCTATTTTGGGCTACCAAATCTGCCAGAAATTCCTCTACAAGAATTTTGTGTGTATTACTGCGACTCCGTTCGAAGCTTTTATGTTCCTCCAACGGCAAAACTTGTGGAAATAAGCCACTGCAATGCGGTGACGGGTATTCCAAATTTGGAGGAGGTTCCGTTGGAACAACTTGTGATCATCGAGTGTCCACGAATCACTACACTGAAGTCGTCGAACAAACTGAAAACCCTCAAATTGTATTGGTGCGACAAACTGCAGAATTTGAGTCTTGCGAATGGGTTGGAACAGTTGGACATCTTTTATAACAAAGGACTCAAGAATTTAAGACTCCCCACGACCCTCAAAATTTTGGATCTTAATTTCTGTAATAATCTCACACAACTGGATAATGTGCAGGAAGTGAGGAACATAATACCAGTCGAACTCAGACACAAATTTCTCAAATAAATGTTTTATTATAAATTACAGTTTACACCTTGTTTGTATTGTTTTGAACCACTTCCATGAACTGCTCGAATGCTATTTTGAGCTCCGAATTGAATTTGTCTGTAAGGTCTTTTGACCCTAAGTTGATGACTTGTAACTTGTTTTTGTTGACATCATAGAAAACAACATCTGTGTCTGTGAGCTCGGTTTTGGACGGATCGCCATGTTCTTGCATCTCCCCAGAAAGAACAGTGCATATGGGATAAAAGGCAAAGACCCCATTTTCTTGCTTTAATATCCCCTCGTTGAACAGGAACAACTCAACCTCGTTGAATCCAAGAACAGTCGCTTTGACTCCAGTGAAATAGTCTAACAACGAATTGTCTTTTGAAAAGGCCGAATTGACGATAGAGGCAGAACGGATGGAACCGTTAGAACCATAAACGGAAGTTAGACACTCAAACTTCTTTGTGTAAAACAGTTTTGATTGTGAAATGTAAGTATTGATCTTTTTGTTTGTCTCTTTAAAGAGTGTTTTTGCTTGTTGAACTTCGTCGAGAACTTGAGAAGAAGTTTTGAACTCTTTAATCACACTGTCTGTAATTAACTCAAAGCGGCTATTTATCAATCATTAGTTTAAACCTTAATAAATCACAAACCAAACTCGCTGCATAGCACAGTAAAACAGATCTTTAAATTCTTTGATGTTTTTATCAATGCAATTCTCGAGTAATTCATTGACCAATTTCTTGAGTTTCGAAGTGTCTTCAAACAGCTTGTCAATGAATGGACTAAGTGTTGTGTAATGTGCAATGAATTTACTGTAAACGTCCTCTAAAGTTCCTTTGTGACTTGTGTCTGTCAAAAAGTTCGAATAGACTTGATACACCCCGAAAATGACAAGTTCTTCAGTTTCAGGAGTGGATTTAAGTAAAGTGTCATAGAGTGGGTCGAGACCATCGCATAGTGATGTTATCGTTTCGACCAAATTGTCCAGTGGATTAAATAAAATAAAGTCTTGGTGTTGGAGGAGTGGTATTTCTCGTCTTATTTCTTCTTCAAAGATCTATTCAGTCAACTTTTGTATAAAACTAAAGCGAAACAAACTTGGAAAATTTCAAGTTTAGCGCAGAAGGTAAATTCAGTGAACATGAGCTCAGCAACTCTCATCACTTTGGGGGTACCAAAGATTTTGGTCTTCCCCAATTTGGGGACAAAAGCGACTTTATCTTCAAGGTCTTCGTCTGTGAAATAGTCCCGCAATTTATTCAAATACTTCTTTGAGTATCTAAACGGTTCGCGACGGACCTCTTCCCCAAACTGTGGCGACAATATTTGTGGAACCCTATCTTCTATATCCGTCCGACTTCTCTCGTCAGGATTGAACTTCTCAACACACACTTCCGAGCAACTCTTGACTGTTTGGTCTCTTGTGGAAAGATCTCGAGGAGTCAAAGATGTTTTTCTGGTCCTCACAAACGAAAGTCGAGGCAAAATTTTCTGAACCCTTTCTTCGTTTGTATTGATATGAATAGAAGGAGTGCTTCGAACATTATTAGAGTCGATATTTGTATTTTTGTTATTCTGTGTTTGTGGGGGTTGTGGTGGTTTAGTGAGTGGTGGTGACGGTGGTGGTCTTAAAGGAGTTCTGGCGCCAACAGACAGTCTTCCATATTTTGGTTCTAAAGCCAACAAGTTTGGTTCTTCCTTATCTGAATGAAGTTCTTTTGAACTTGACCTTTGTGGTATTGGTGGAATAGGTTTTTTGTAAATTTCTTGTTTTGTTTGTTGTAATGGTTCAGTGGGTACTCTTGGGAGTGGGAGTTTGGTTGGTTTCTTTGATGGGCACAGTGGAGGATTCTTCTTTGGTACCGAATAATTTTGTGGTGTGGGTGATACGGACTGAGGGCGTGATGGGAGCTTTTTTTCTGGTGGGAGGTGGGTGGGTTGATTCTCCATATAACGGTGTATAATAATTTACAAATTCCAAATATTTTTGATTTAAAAGACATACAAAAAAGGAAAAAAAAACAGAAAAACGCTATAAAAATTAAGTCGAGTTATTTATTCGTAATTCAAACGTGTTTTTTGTGGGAAGATTGATTTTTTCGATTTTTGTTCAAATGTTACTTGATATAAATAGAATAGTAAATGTTATTATTTGAATTAATATTATATTATTATTAAAAAAAATTATTAACACTTAAAAAACAAGAAACAGTACAATTAATATTGATTTGAACCAGTTTGAACAAAGCTTATATATACAGGGTCTTCATACGAATCACCCATACCAAAATTGAAAGGTGGTTTTGTACAAGATGAACCAATACAATTTAAAGGACATTCTTCATTGTTTAAGTCGATTGGGCTTAAATATATTGGAGCAGGTTGTGAGTGGATAAAGTACGTTGCATTATAATCATAATAGGTATACTCCGGCTGCCCATTTGGTTCTGGTTGGTATAAATTTGGATCTTTCACGTCTTGTTGTGACACAGTATCTTGAACTGGGATATTAAGATCACGACATTCCGTTAATTGTTCATCTCCAACACATTGACGTTGTTGTTGGTTGACACTTTGTGACTCTTCACTGGTTGTTTCTGACCCGACCTCTGTGATTATTTCAGGTATCAGGTCACGGTCAATCAATGAATTGTCATCTGAAATTTCTTTGTTTAAATCCAGTTGTGTGTGTATGAAACTTCGATTCAAGAATTGTGGGTTCAGGCAAAAAGTGTATTTCCCACACTTTTTGGTGTCATTAGTACTCATCAATATTTCGTTACGATAGGGAATCAGCGATGGTTCGTTGTACATATAACCATGTACAACACTGTGAAACTTCTCACCTTCCTCCAACAGCCGTTTTTCTGAGAACAACACTTTATCATTCAGTTTGATCGTGTTGATGTATTGTTTCTTCCAATCGTTGAGTAACTCATAAGTCTATTTTTTGCCCTTTGTTCTCAGAGTGGCGTATCCTATGCTTTTTAAAATGTTGGCTATTTTATCTAGCATAAGAGCAAAGATGATATCATCCTTTTTTTTGTCCTTTCTGAAGTCAATAGTCTTTTTCCCCTTGTTTGTAATGGCATCAGCAAAGCTGTTTATTACGTTCGTCACATCCTGTGACCCACTCACAACGTCTCGGTCCCAAACTACTTGCCCAATTGAATCTTGGATTTTTAAGAGTTTGACATTATGGATGTGTGTAGTCTTTTTTGATGGCTTCTGGATGTCGAGTATATAACCACATTCCAACAAAACAGATAAAATTCCAAAAACGAGGTTGTCTTTTCGAAGCTCGTTTAATTTCCTGGTCATACTTGTCTCTTTAATTTGACGAGAATTTTTTGGTTGTGCAAATTGCTTAACCACTAATGGCATTATAATATCTTGTTTGTCAAATTGGTATATTAAATAGCAAAATTTATAATTAGAAAATACTGAATATGTTTAATTTCTTTATTTTATTCATCTTTTTCCTCATACAAAAATATAAATTTTGAATGCACGTATTTTAAAAATTCACTTGTAAATGACTAAGCAAAGTAACAATAAACAAACAGCAACACACCATAAACCCAATTAGTCATAGTTGTCACCGCTTTAAAGATGTTTTATTGAAGAAGGTAAAAGAAAAGAATATTTCTTTTCTTTCTTATAAATATTTTCATTTGAAATTGAATGACCCAAAATTGCACAATGGTCTGTTATTATCTGAAAAATATCAAAAACAATAAGACAATTAATTATAACAACTAATCTTAATAAAAAATATAGTGTATCATTTACTTTTGGGCATGAGACCCAATCGATTATTTTTTCAAAGAAGAAAACTAAATTTAGCATTATTTTGAAACTAATAATTACAAACTCCACAAAGTTCTAATAGGGTAACAAACCATATGGAATGACCAGAAACCCTGTCATACTTATAGATTGAAAAACTTAAAAATTCAAATATCAAACAAGACAGGGCCTACATTCAACATTACAATTTGTTGTATGTGTACCTGTTTCACCCACTTTCCTTGTCCTTTCTATCTATCCAGAAAGGACAAGGAAAGTGGGTGAAACAGAACAAGAGGATGGAGTCTCTCTGATTGCAGAGAGACTTGCACTAAGAGAGGACAAGGAAAGCCGGTGAAACAGAAGATACATTGATTGTTAAGGTGCGGCTACTTTAGTCTTCCTTTCAATATTCTGTTTATGTGGTAAAATCATCATCGATAACCTTCGCTTTTTGCGAAGATATCAAATTCTGAGCAATAAAAACATATTTATAGGATATCACTTTGAAAGTGTTTGATTGAAATTTAAATTATTTTTTAGTTGTTTTGCATTTTATTTGTTTAAAAAACTTTTTAAAAAAACAAAAAATGAAATGCCAATAATTTCAAATTATCAAACTCTGCAAAAGTCGATTTTTGATAAAAAGTTGTTTTTTTTAAATTGTGTTTTTCCTTATTTTTAAAATAATATTATTAATAATTTAAAATTATTATCTCAAAAAAGAAAAAAAATTATCGAAGGACTATTATCAAGGAACTAACTTAGCTACTACAATTGGTCCATTAAACCTTCGCCCAGCAAATTAACCTTAGCCCAAAGAAAAACTAATTATTTTCTATTGTTATATTAAAATAATAAACTATACCTATATATAAGTCAAATTTCTCAAATACATTTGTTTTTTAGTAAAAACCCGTGTTTTTAAAGAAAAATATAGGAATTTCTTTGGGCTAAGGTTCATTTTCCCTACTGTAAGCATCGATTTAGTTTTGAATTGTCAAAACTAAAACTAAACTGGCATTTCTTGAACTGAAGAAACAAACCAAATATTTTTCAATTTATTCGCATTATAATTGAAATATTTCATTTGCAATAGAAAAATGAAGGTCGGTTTTATTCGAGATTTAATACCCGACTGTTGCTTGGATTCTTTTTCATTTTATAAAAATTATGAAATCACTATTATATAATGAAGTTGATGTTCACAACACTAAAATTCTCAACAAGTCATAACTATTCAAGTTAATTTGATTCCATTATCAAAGTAAAACGTTGATTTAAGGGTGGTTTCAGTCACGTCTTTAACTTCTGAACTAAAAAAATTGATAATTTTTTTTTGAATATAAAAAATGTGTAATTATTATCAAAACCCACAAAATGTGAAAAATAAATTAATAAAAACCATAAATTAATGATAAAATATATTAAACAATTTTAATTAAGTCTTTAATTTTGTAAGTTTATAAACTACTTAAAAAGGCAACACAACAATTCAATTTGACAAACCAAAACAAGTTAGACCACCTGGGACTGAGCTGGTTTCTTCTTTCCCTTTGTGTTGACAGCAGTTGGGACATTAGGGAATACACCACCATTGATGATAGTGACGTCTTTAAGCAAGTCGTTCAACTCGAGATCTGATCTGACTGCGAGTTGGATATGTCTTGGTGTGATTCTAGTCTTTCCAAAGTCTTTTGCTTGTCCGCCCGCAAGTTCCAAAACTTCAGCGACCAAGTACTCAATGACAGCCGTCAAGTAAACTGATGCCATTTTGTTGACATGTTCTCCATATCTTCCTTTCTTCAATGCCGCATGAATTCTCGCAACTGGAAATTGGAGGCCCGCCTTCTTTGACAAAGTGTTCTTCTTTCCTTCCTCGTCAACCTTCTTTGTCTTCTTATCAGTCGATTTGCGCGGTTTCTTCTCGACTTTCTCTTTCTTGACCTTTTTCGCCTCTTCTGCAGCCTTTTTGTCGGTCGCAACTACTTCTTTCACTTCCTCCTTTGCAATTTCTTTGTCAGCCATGTGTTAAAAACACAATTTGGATTTTAGAGTTATTCTCAACTTTAATACCTCCTCGTTTTTCTCTTTTTCTCTCTGCAGTTTCTCTTTTCGGAAACCCTACTTTTCTCTCTTTTTAAGTTCTTTTTGTCGTTTCTTTATAGTACTTAAAACTAGACGGTTACATTATTCTTGTATTCTTAATCATATTTTTATTATAAAATATAGTACAACACACACATTCACTTATCTATTGTCTTCCCCTTATATTGGTGTTTATTTCATATTAAAACCAGTTGTAAGTCCTCCAGTCGTTAGTTGATCAGTAAGGTCGACATTTGCTGTATTTTGCTTTTCCTGTTTTAATGCTTGCGCAAGATCGTTAGAACAATTATCCGAGCCAATTTTCTTAAGATTCACCATTTGGTCATTCAACGAACAAAAATAACTGTTCAGAATTTGTCCTTCAAATTCATGAAAAGACTTCTCTTTGTCATGAACCTTCTCTCCAACTTCTTCCGAAATCGACGAAACATCATCCCCTTCCCCATACTCTATGACCATTGGTATCATTTTATTATCACCACCTTGACTCTTTGACTGTGTTAGAGTGGGAGGTGGGACTTCTTCTTCATATTTTTTAAACTCTTTGTTAATCCCTATCACATGTTTCATCAAAAACTTCTCCTTTTTACTCTCAATGTTCTTTGTTTCAACCTCGTTGACACTCTCTTCTCTATTATCGTTGTCCTGATGCTCAATATCCATCACCTTGTTCTCTTCACGTTGCTGTATCGTCTCAATAATACTTAACTCTCCAAGGTCTTGCTCTCCAAAAGTAATCGGCTTCCGTTGCTTGCGAATTAACTCAAACCGAGAAACACTATTCTTCTTGCGAGGCGCCATTGGCGCGTTGTTCGAGTCGAAAAAAACAGGATGAACCATTTCTATCCCAGAAACACAGTCGATAATATGACCTTGCGCACATTCTATTTGATCCAATTTGTTATTCAATTCAGTACGCTCTAAATTGTAATCATCTTGAATTGGCTCCTCTGGCATTTTCTCGTTTTCTATTTTACTTATCTCTTCTTCTCCCTTTTCCTTCTCAACTTCTTTGTGTTCTTCGGCAGGCTGCTTTTCCAAAGGAATTGCTTCGTCTTTAGTATCAGGAACAAGCCGTTTAATTTTCACAGATGGTTCTTTCTTTAATACCAACATTGGTTGATGCTCTTGTTGTTGTTCTAATTGTGGAACACTCTTTGATTGTTCATTAGTTCCTTCTTCTATTTCCATCAGTGCCGATTTCTCGTGTTTTTCCTCCTCAACGGGGGTGTCGATGGGTACTTCAACCATTTTGGTATCAACTCCTTTATCTTTTGCTTCTTCTTTTGCTATTATTTTTGCATCGTCTTTGATAAGTTCAAGTGGTTTCTTCTCAACTATTTCCTCCATACGCGTCACTTCTTTTTCTGGAACAACTTCTTGTTGTTGTTCAATGACTTCTTCCATCTGTACGACTTTCTTTTCAGTGGGAATTTCATTGTGATTTTCAACGATTTCTTCCATTGGCTTTTCAACTGTTGGTTCACATGCTTTGTGTTCGTCGATGACTTCTTCCATCGGTTTCTCGTCTTTCTTTTCCTTTGTCTCTTCTGTGTTAACTTCTTTTTGTTCGACAACAACAACGTCCTTTAGAGTTTCTTCTTTTTCAGTCTCTTTTGTTTCTTGTAACGCGTCGCCTTGAGGTTCATTCGGTTTGTCACCTACAAACAGTTCACTTCCATCACTCATGTCCTTCTTTTCTTCATCATTTTTATTCTGTTCAACAGTAATAATTTCTATGCCATTGTCTTTGGGTTGCTCCTCTTCATTCTCAGAGCTATTGACACCAATTGTTTTCGTGCCGAGTCGACTTTGATACGTTCCGACATCGATAAACCCATCCTTTAACGAAACCATCTCTCCGTCAGGTGTTGTGGACGTTGGGGGTGCTCCGCGGGAGTCTCCGAACGTTCCGATGAGTGTGTCTCCGTTGCTCACTCTGACTTTATATTCCCTCAATTTAGCTTCAAACTCTCCGATATGGTATTCTCGTCTTGTACTTGCGTCTATCACTTTGATTGTTTCTGTATTCATCCGATCACTTTCCATTAAAAGTTCGTCTTTTTTTTCTTTAGGTTTTTTCTTTGTTTTTTTAGTCATTTTGTGGGTAATTATTTGAGTTTTTCACAGTAATTTTTTGAGCAAATGATCAGCATAAAACACTTTTGGGAAATAATTTCTTTTTCAATTGTTTTTCAGTCTAAATGTCGACTGTATTGGTTTGTTTTATTTTTATGTGCAAAAAGAGAGAATTTTATCACTTCTATTTTTGTCTATTTTCTTATTTAACTCACATTTTAATTTTGACGTTTTTGAATAAAAAAGAGTTCAACCAATTAAACAGTATTACTCTAATCCCGAAATTTTTCTTCTTTTGTATCAAAAAATGACTAAAAACAGAGAATAAAGACTGTTTTAGGGTTACCATCTTATACCTCCAAATTATAACATCAAAAATCAATTAATGTCGTACAGAATAAAGGACACCGATTTACACAACCAAGCACAACAATTCCAAGCAACCACTAATTCTTTACGTCACGCACGACGTGAACGTGTTTTGAATATGCATAGAAATATAATAGATATACCCGAATGTAAAGGATATGCCTCTTCGGAAGAAATTGAAACTATAATAACTGGGGTGTTACAACTCAATCCAACAGCTCCTTCTCAATTATTTCAGTTGATCGACAACGACCCAGTGGTGACCAAGTTGATTAGGACTCACAACGTTCTTCCTTCATTGAAGAAAATACTTTTGAATTCACAAGTCGACGTGATGTTAAGTGTGTTAGACTGTTTCATCAATTACTGTTACGAGTCTCCGGAGTGTTCCTATGAGGTGATGGAACTGAATGATATGGTTCCCGTCTGTGTGTCCTTATTACAACTTGACAACAAAGAATTAAACGATAAAACATTGTGGTTGTTATGTAACACAGTATCCGACGTATTCAACGTGAAGACCAAAATTATCTCTACACAACTTTTTAAATTAATTCCTCTACTCGCTCATAAATATCAAGATCAATTGGTCCCAAGACTATCTTGGCTTTGTTTGGTGTTGTCTGAAATACAAGCAAATGGACCGCCCCTCCCGGAAGAACTCTTTTCTGTTTTGTTTTCATTTGCTCTTGAATTCTTAGACAAATACAAAACAGTCCCAGAAATAGCGTCGGACTGTTTGTATACTTTTGTACACCTCTCCGTCCAATTTGAGTACTTGAACTATTTCCAAAACCCTAGTTTATTGGATCTCATCAAGTCGTTCTTCTTGTCACCTGAAACAACATTATTTGTACCTGCTATGCGTTTCTTTGGTAATTTAATAATAGCAGACGAAGCTGTAGAGTATGTGTTGAATTACATTGGAGACACCTTTTTAACTTCAATTAAAAGTACGAACGCACAAATGTTAAAAGAGGTGTATTTCTTTTATTCCAATTTGGCAGCAACAAAAAGTCTTCCCGTTATTATGAAGTGTGTGAATGGAGAGCAAGTGGATGTGGCCGTCAACTTCATTTTGCAAAGAAGCGTGTTTCAAGATACTCGGCTTGAGATGGAACATTTCATCGTTAATTTGTTTGTTTCATCTTTCGTGGAGATCAAAGCGATTCTTTTGAGTAAACCAAGGATACTTGAAGCACTTCTGAAAGTGTGTAGAGACACTGAGGCGCCACTTAAACTATTGTGGAGTTCGCTCAAGGCAATAGGGTTGGTTTGTGAGTATGGGGAGAATGTGGCACGTGTCGATTATACAAATCTCTTTGAAGAACTTAAGGTGGTAGATACACTCGACGAAATCATTAACACTATCAACAACAACAAAATCACCAACCTCGCTAGACAACTGAGAGACAACTACTTTATGGTCGAAGGCTATGATCAACTTTAATTTATTGTACTAGAGTTTATAATTATTTTACTATTAAAGGCATGAATGTTAAATAGTTAAATTAATTATTAATTTATTTACAATTGTATTATAAAAATATAATTTGAAAAAAATGACAAAAACAAGTATTATTGAAAAAGTTTTTTATAAGACCCAAATTAAATTTTAAACTTATTTTAATGTCTGTAAAAATATTGTGGCTCTAATAAAAAAACAAGTGTTTTTTTTTGTAGTTTAAATGAGAAGTAAGTCTAAAAATAAATAATAATATTACAATGTTATCAATTATGCAAGATTTAAATAAAAAAGTACAAAAATGAGAATTATCATTTTTTAAGATCATCTTATAAATTTGGTTTTTAATACAAATTCGTTTTTAAACACACGAAAAAAAATTTTGTTCCAAATCTTTTTGTTTTCATAGTTTTGTTAACCATACTTATTATTATAAACAATTAAATGTTATAGTTTGAACTGTTTCAATTAAATTAAAAAATTTTTCTATCAAAAATTAAAAATCTATTTTTAAATTTGAGATTTTTACTTTTTTATTCGTAAAGACACATTGGCGTAAAATAAAATTGATCTCAGAGAAATTTCACCGTTTTTTTCTGATAAAAAATAAAACACACACAAATATACTCTTTGTTTTTTTCCCCATTTTTACATAATTCTTTTTATTGTTTTAATTATTCAAAATTTACTCATGAAAATGAATGTTTTCCCGCCCTTTATTACCAAAAAAGAGATGAAATAGAACGATTATTGATAAGAAATTTCCATTTTTCCATAAATAACACGAAAAGAATCACATTAGTTTTTATATAATATAATAAATTATGAATAAGAGTTATAGAGAATAATAAAAGAAAAATCATCAATTGAGAAAATTGACATGCGAATTTTTTTTGATTTTCCACTTGAAACTCAGAAGAAAGAACGGATGGTTCATTGTTGGTCGTTGCTCATTTTTTTAATATTTGGGTGTATTGCATATGACAGTTGGTGTGAGTTTGAGGAGAATTATGTAACGTTTAAATATGGGCAGAAGTGTAGTTATAATAACAGTTATTGGTTGGGATGGGAATATTTGAGTTTCCAATCGAACACGGATATCTTCCAAATACAGAATGACTGTTGTGGATTCCAACGAACAAATTTGTCACAGAATTATATGTACTGGAATGATACTGCTTCTACTAATAAGTTATTTAGGTCCAAAATAGTCACTGAAACTGCGAATGGAAGAACCTTTTTGAATTTACATTTTGAAGTTTCATTATATCCGACGAACAATTACACATTTGAATGTAGTGAAATGCTCGACAACACTATAATAACTTTTTCTGGAAGAAATGCGTCGAGTGGTGTGAAGGATGTTTTCACGATCGGGATACACAAGTTTTACTTTAATGTCGACGAATCTTTTCATGAAAACGTTGTTTTACAATTCACGAAAGTGGTGAGACCTTATGTTATGATATCAGGAGATGTGTCAGTTCAAGTTAATATGGTAATTGCACAAGAGGGAGAGTGTGGGTTCTATTATGTAGCACGTGGTAATGTGAATAACATTGAGCCTTTCAATGGAAAGGGGAAAGAAGCGCGTGTGCTCTGTGACATTGACTCGTTTAACAGGGTATCTCTCTGTGTTAATACATCAACAATAAGAAATGATTGTTCCTGTACATTCCAGAACTTTGAGTATTTGAACAATTATACTGATTGTTACGAAGTCAGTCAACACCGGATTTTTAATATTCTGCCCGACCAAGTCGACTTACCTAATGAACAAGAGTGGTACTCATTCAGTACATCACAAAGTACCAAACTCACTATACCAAAGAGAAATCATTTGAGCTTTAAAGGTAAAGTTCAAATGCCCGAGTACCCTGTTGCGTTCTCTGGTACTGTGAATTTTGATAATACAATGGTTATAACACGAAGCGACATCTACTATGATATAGGTAACTTCTATTTAAGAGCTATAGAAGTGAAAGAAGGACTCGATAATGATATTGTACTCTTCAGAGGAAAGAACCAATACAACACGGATGAAGAACAACAGAGACTTGTTTCTATTGGGGTGAAAGAAGTTGGGTGTGGGGATTCGAAGAGAAGATATGTAAGAAGTACATCAGACATCAAATGTAAGTGCACTCAACTTGATAAAAACACTTTTGTGCAGTTTGATTGTGATGATGCAACAACCAGACGATATGATAAAATGGATTTGGTGTTATCTGGAAGCTACAGCGGAGGGAGTGTGAAAAGATATTGGAACTCGATAAGTTCGGAGAGTCTTGAGAAGAGCGAAATTGAAGGGACGGACATAGAAGTGGTTGGGGTGTGTGACTTCTCACAAATCAGTTCAGTCGTTTTGAAATCCAATTTGCAATGTTCGAAAGTACTTATCTCACAGAAGACAACAATTGACATAGACGAAGGTAAGACGTTTGGTTTTGACCAAATAACATTTGTTGGGGATATCATCACATCCAACTTGAATGGTAAAGCGTTCATTCAAGTTGGAAAAGGGACTTTAAAAATCTCATCTGCTTTGAAAGTCGACTTTTCATCGATCACATCAGTTGATTGTTTTGAATTTGCGGCGAGTGAGAATGCGTTTCAAAGTGATTTATCAGGGAGTGGAAATAATTTGTATATCTATGACAAGCTTATAAGAGGGTGTGTCACAGGTAAGACTGATGGAGATGTTGTGTGTACTTTGCAAAATGAGAGTTATGGAAGCTTTGCACACACCCAATGCCCATGTAGTACAAAAGTCGATAAATTCAATTGTTTGATTGAAACGTCTCAAGACAACATTGTTTTTAACGACGTTCAAAACGTAGATTATGCAGTTTTAAACCTCAAAAAAAACACTCAACTGACTAATGTGAATAAAATCGACTTTTTAAAATTGAATGGTGCAATAAACGTGAGAGCTACAACTAACACCAAAGGTACATTCTCAAGTGTGGAATCAAGTGACGTTAATGCATTGCTTCAAATATTGGGTGATGCAGATGTTGTGACTAAAAACAGTTTCAAGATATCGGCAAGTGGAAAGGTTCGATTTATATCAGAAATTGTACATCTCTCCGATATAATTGAAACAGAAACAAGTCAATATTTCATCGCACCGTCGGCGATGAAATTGCAAATCACAAGTTTATCTTCTTTGTTGGCGAAAAGTGAGCAACTTTTTGTTTTGGAGTCTTCATCCGACGTTTTCACGATACAGAAGATACCAAAAGTGTCTAATATCGACAGAATTATCATGGCAACCCTAAACAGAAAAATTGCGACAGAATCGACTGGATTTGGGTTACAGTGTGATTCCCATGCCATTATTTCACTTACAACAGAAGATAAAGATATAGCAGAATTTTGCTCATCAAAGGGACTTGATAAAAGAACATGTAAAAAGGAAGGAGAAGTCTATTACAGTTTGAATGGAGAAATAGACTATTCATGTCCATGTCATTCGACAAAGAGTCATTGTTCTATCGTGGTGGGCAATTTGGACACGTTGAATGTCCAAGACTTCACAGAAGTGACAATCACGAAGAGTATCACACTCAACGCAGTCCAACAAAATTTTGTGGTTAACAGTGTTGGTGGAGCTTCTTCGTTGGTTGTTACCATAGTTGGGGACTCCAATTTTGTTGCAACGAATGGTGTATCTGGACAGAAATATGTATTCCCAAATAACGCAAACAACATGCTCTCGACAAAGAATATTAAAATGGGCTTTTCCGAGAGACTCAAAACGACAAAATGTGATGCAAATGGAGTCTCGGTATATTTAAGTTCTTCGTCTTATTGCACCGAAGGGTATATCCAGAATGGAATTTATGTCTGTCTCTTATGTGGGACGGCCAAACCAATTTCTGGAAGCAATGAGTGCCCAACACGGGGAGTCGTTTCAGGGTGTGAGATATATAATTCTGGTGGGAATTGTGTACAATGTTCTGATGGGTATTACTTGCAGGGATATTCATTAGGGTTTCAGTCCTGTGGAAACTGCCCTTCCAATTGTGAGAAGTGTAATAACTCGACATCTTGTTATTATTGTAAATATGGGTATCATTTAAATAGTAAGGGTATATGTGAATATGTGACAAAGAATGAATGTTCAAATTACTTGTTAGAGAAGTGTCGACTCTGTGAAGATGGATTTTTTGTTCAGAACGAGAAATGTGTCTCATGTGGCGAGGGATGTCTCACATGTGCAGACTCTGGAAATTGTGAGTTGTGTGATGCTTCAAAATTGATGAAATTAGTCGATAAAAGATGTGTTTTGAATTCTAATGCTACATTAGTATCATCCACTAATGATGTGCAGTGTACTTCTGGTTATTATAACCTCAATTCAGTGTGCACTAAGTGTTCCACAGTGTATGGAAGCACATGTTTGGAGTGTAATGACAAAACATGTTTGTCATGTAGTGGAAATGATGTTGTTGTTGGTACAAAGTGTGCGACATTATCTGCATGTGCAATTCAAACCAACTCGAAGTGTGTGAAATGTTCAACTGGTCAATATTACAATGAAGAAAGTTCAACATGTGAGACGTGCGATCCATTGTGTACTTCGTGTTATGGCTCAGACACATGTGGTACATGTGAGTCTCCGAATTGGTATGTTCCAAGTTCACAAAATTGTCAAGAGACGCCATCAGCTTCTGATTTAAACATAACAGTGTGTGCAAAGAGCCAAGGTGGACGGTGCTTAACATGTATTGAAGGGTACTTACTAACTAAGATTGGAGAATGCGAAAAATGCAGTTCGTCTTGTTTGGGGTGTTTTGGTACAAAAGACTATTGTGTGAGTTGTCCACCCGATCACACTCTTCTTCGGTCAGATACCACTTCTGATTCCACATGTCAGAGTAACGTGGACCTTGCTGTTAAATGTAGTCAGATGATGAAGAGTGGGACAGGATGTGCCATATGTAAGAAAGGGTATTTCCAAACTGGTGTGAATTGTATTGAGTGTATGGACAATTGTCAGTCATGTGTCGACTCTTTAAAGTGTGTTTCATGCAACGATCAGTATTTCACATATGATGGAAAGAGTTGTATTTCATACGAAAGGTTGGAGAACTGTGTCACCAAGAGTAAAAGTGGATGTGTAGAGTGTAATAACGGGTATATATTACGTGAACCTTATTGTGAGTCTTGTGAGAGTGTAACTTCATATTGTTCGTCGTGTTCTTCTGGCAAGTGTGAGTCTTGCAAGCCAAATTATGTTCTCAAAGATTCTCATTGTGTGTTTTACAAAGAAATTGATCATTGTAAGCGCTCTGTTGATTCGAAATGTGTTGAGTGCGACTTCTGGTATGAAATTTCCGACAGAGGCACGTATTGTCAGAAACATGCTGTGTCATGGGTTATAGCAATAATAGTCGTATTGTGTGTCTTTGTACTTTTATGTGTAATGCTTGGAATCATTTTCTTGGCCTTCTACTTCCTCAAAAAGTCGATGAAAAACCAGCGACCAAAAGATGTGAATTACTTCTATATGGAAGACACTGATATTCGATTTGAAAGTTTGAGTGGCAAGAGTTACGTTGTGACGAACAAGAAGACGTTGAAATTTGAGAAAGAAGACTTGGACATTATGTTGCCTGTAGGACAAGAGACATTAGAGACTGTATGTGTTGGTAATGGGGGGAAGAATAAATTGAAAGTGCAGTTCACCGTGAAAGAAGATGTGTTGTGCAAGTACAAATTAGTGATTGAGCCCGATGTTGCTATCTTAAGAAAAGGAGAAGCGTGTGAGTTTAAAGTCAAATTGACACCGACGTGTACGTGTAAAATAGATGAAACGATTCAATTAGTTTCAATGGACTTTAAAAAGGATGGTGTGGTTAATGAAGAAATTAAAATTCTGTGCGAAACACAAATGTCGACCCGGTTGGACTATGATGAGTTAATTTTGGATAAGCAAATTGGTGAAGGATCCTTTGGAACTGTATACAAAGGGATGTTCCGAACGAATATAGTGGCCGTTAAGATGATGAAGATCCCAGACGATGACGACGCGATGATTGAATTTGACAAGGAAGTTGCGATGCTTGACAAATTCCGCAGTGAATATGTTGTTCACTTCTTTGGAGCTGTTTTCATACCAACGAAGATCTGCATGGTGACCGAATTTGCGAAATTTGGGAGTTTGATGGCGATGATCAAAAAGAAGAAGAAACTGGACAAGTACTTGCGTATCAAATTTGTGTTGGATTCGGCGCGTGGGATCATGTATTTGCATAATAATGGTATTATGCATAGAGATATAAAAACGGACAATATTCTTGTATTTTCTATTGACAAGGGTATTCCTGTCAACGCCAAATTGACGGACTTTGGGTCGTCGAGAAATGTTAATATGATGCGAAGTAATATGACGTTCACAAAAGGTATTGGGACACCAGTTTGTTTACTAGTTCTTTTCTAGTTTAATATAAGATCTTTTGAATATTAATGAATAGATGTACATGAGTCCTGAAGTCTTGGACCAATCAAAATACTCTGAGAAGGCGGATGTCTTCTCATTTGCTGTTGTGATGTATGAAATTTTTGTATGGGGGCCACCATACCCAAAGAGTGAGTTCCAATTTCCGTGGAATATAGCAGAATTTGTTGCGAAAGGGAACAGACGTCTGCAACCGAAGGATATGCCAGATTGGTTGTACCAAGTCATTTCACTTGGGTGGGATCAATTGCCATTGAATCGACCAAAGATTGATAAAATAGTTGAAATGATTGAACAGAATTTTAAAGAGGAGCTTGACTAATTGTATTACTTCGCTATTATTTTTTTTAGTTGAAGAGATGCTTCAAAGTATTCAATTAATCTTCAGGAAGTAAATGTTTACCTAAACCACCATCTTTGAGAACAGAAGCTACACCCGTGTCAATATCATACAGCATTGGGACTATTACACACTTGCCTTCTTCAATAAGCGGAACCAATGTCTTGTCATTCTCAACAGAGGCCGCATGAGCAAAAGCACTTTTAATACATGTCGCTGGGATCTCTTTGTGACACTCTTTGGCTATGGAAGAAAGGTCATCAACTAATTTGTCAAGACATGTTGTGCATTTTTCGGCGTCTTGACGAGTACATGCCGCGGTGCAAGCACCACATTTGGTATGTGACATAACTACTACGAGAGGCGTCTTTAAATGTGTCACCGCATATTCTATTGACCCAAACTCACGAGTTCCCATTACACCACCCGCCGTGCGAATCACAAAGATCTCACCAAGTGTACAATCAAAGATGAACTCGGGTGGTGCGCGAGAGTCAGAACAACAAATCACTGTAGCGATTGGTTGTTGTGTGTTGACAAGCTCCCCACGGCGTTCTTTAAAGTCGTGTGGAGTCAACTTACCAGACACAAATCGAGAATTTCCGGATAGGAGTTTGTCCAGTGCTTGTTGCGATGTCAGCGTAGTCATTCTAAAGTAATAAAAAGAGTGATCAAATATTTCTTTAAGTCACTATTTTTGAATACAATGGAAGGGGGTTTGCTTCGTAAAGTGTTTTGGCATATATGAGAGTTAATTACCCCTTTCATCTTTTATTAAATTCTCTCTTCATATTGATTATTTGTCCATTACTTCTCATTTGATAAGAATTGTGAGCAATTCAAGCATTTGACCACCAAAATTCACCTTGTATTATTATTTCGTTTTAAAAAACTGAATTACAATTGAAAACTATTTGATTATTTTAATACTATAAATCATACCTCCAATTATAGTATAATTTTTAATTGTTATTGCTAAGGAAGGCTTTTTTCATCACCTTTAAAAATAAACTATCTTTACTATTTGATATAATATGCAAATTATAATTATAGTAAATAGGAATAGTAGTAAATATTTGGTCTTGTTCCCAATTTACAAATCTGCCAAACGGTCACCTCGAGTCAGTGGAAACCGAGACGGAACGTGAAAAGAAGGAACATAAAGACGCACTCAAACAGTATGTTTGTGCACCCTTTCCACCCACTTTTCAAGTCCTCCCCTGGCGCAGATTCCTCTGACCCCTCCCCGCAAGCGAGGGGAAACCACATCCGCGTCCACACAGTCCGGACAAGGAAAGTGGGTGACAAGGGGACGTTAGAAAGTAGCTGAAAGGTGGACTTCTTAAAAAAACAACAGCAATTATTTTATTTTGGTAAACGTGGTGGTTGGAAAAGACAATCTAGTTATTGCTTGAATTATTATTAATAAATAATTATTTATTATTTATTATAATATATTATTATTATTGTAATAGTATTATGATGATATTTAATAAATAATATATAGAGGATATAAATAATACAATAGAATATGAACTTTGAAAACTATAAAAAACTTATAATGGAGGACGAAGAGAAGAACAGTTCTCTTGTCACTCAAATCAAACACTTTGTGTCTTCTAATAAATTTGATATTGCTCTGACAGTTTTACTGTATGTGTTGACCTTTTTATGTGGATATCTTCCAACACACAAAATAGTCCCAGACCCACTTGACCCGTTATACTCCTATACCAAAACAGAGAGTATCGTCTCTGCCACATTGAATAAAATAATGAATTTTTATATACCAGTGGTCCTTATTTCAGTGATGTCTGTGTTTTCTGGGGGTGTCGTTTTTGCATTAAAGGCGCTGTTACCGTTTGTTTGTTCCGAGGCGTGTGTTGGGTTTTTGTTGGTAATCACAAAGAAATATGCTGGTAAGCCACGGCCATATTACAACACATCATGTCTCACAAAATACAATGAAAATTGCAACTCCAATTTTCCATCAGGACATGCGGCGTATGCGTTCCACGGTCAACTATTTGTGTCCCTCTTCCTTATCTGTTTTTTGGAGAATTACACATTCTTCAAAACTCTGATTGGCAAGTTTGTGTCACTTCTTCCTCTTGCATTTGCCACATTTGTAGCCATGTCAAGATGCTATGATTATCATCACTCTTTCATTGATGTCATAGCAGGTGTTCTGTTGGGGTCTGTCGTTTCTATCACATCTTTCTTTGTTTATAAAAACAGAATGTTTAAGAAGAAAACACTTACGCCAGAGGAGTTGTTTGAACTTGAATTCGAGTAAAGTGTATTGACTGTATGTCTATTTGGTTATTTAAATAGAATGGGCATTACTAAATAACAAATAAAAACTATAAATTAATTATAATTTAATAGAAAACAACAATACCATAAGTAACGTCATTTTTATTAATTAATATTATATTATAATAAGCAATAATATAATTATAGTTCTACAACTACGAAAAATAAATTAATAATGAACTATAATTAATTAAATAAGATTAGAAATGGAAGAATCAATAAAAACAGTTATTATAGATAATGGATGCTCTATGACTAAAGCAGGCTTTGGTGGTGATGATGCACCAATTTCTGTGTTTCAAACAATTGTTGGGAACCCAAAAAGTAAAGTTAAAGTGCCATCATTATACTCTCCGCCAAGTTATGTCGGGGAATATATAATTAAATGCTCTGAATTTCTCAATTTAAAATGTCCTCTAGAACGTGGTTTAATTAAAGACTTTGATTGTATGAAACAACTGTGGGACCACACGTTTTGCTATGAACTCCGAACAAATCCGAGTGAAGGGAATGTCCTATTAACAGAAGTGGCAAACAACACAGCCCAAAACAGAGAAAAAACGACACAAATAATGTTTGAGGAATTTGAAGTGAAAGGACTTTATATTGGGTTACAACCATTGTTAACATTGTACAACGCTGGAAGAACAACTGGAACTGTTTTGGAAATGGGTGACAGTGTGACGCAATGCATTTCTGTGAATAAAGGAAACGTCTCAAAAGAGTCGTTTGTTGTTAACAACTTTGGAGGAGATGAAGTGTCAACATTCATTCAAAAGACATTAAAAGATCGAAGCAGTGTGTTTGAATTGCAAAGTGCTGGTAAACACATTGCAAGGGATATCAAAGAGAAGATATGTTATGTAGCAAGCAATTTTGTTGAAGCAATACAACGTTCACAGAATGAAGTTGAAACAGAGTATAAACTGCCTGATGGAGAGTCTATTCTAGTCGGCAAAGAAAGATTTTTAGCATGTGAAGCGTATTTCCAACCATCTCTTCTCAACTTGGAATGTTTAGGAATACATCAAATGATATGCAACTCGATCAGAAAATACAATAAAGATGTAACAAAGGTTTTATATGAAAATATAGTGGTGGGAGGGGGTCCTTCATTAACTCAAGGACTTTTTGAACGAATTTACAAAGAGATTAGTAACTTCTCCCCTCAAAATATTAAAATTAAGACTATAAAAAACCAAGATCGAAAATATAGTGCTTTCTTGGGAGCCTCAATTCTAGCTAGTTTGGACTCTTTTATGCCTTCATTTATAACAAAAAAGGTGTATGAAGAAAATGGTGCTTCATTTATAAATTCACATCTCTTTTAATTAAAAAATTTATTCAACTTGTTAAACATAAAATACATCCAAAAGAAAACACTCAATTGCCTATAAATCCATAACACGTTATTTCATCGAGTCGGCAGGAATCTTCAGCTCCTTTTGTAACTGAAGTCTATCCTTTCTCTCAATGTAATAGACATAACCCTGAATAGCTGCACACCCAATTAATCCAAGAATACAGTATATGAAACTTGTGTACATACACCACTCAAGTGTTATATAAGTTGATAATAAACCAGCGAGAAGTGGAGCTAAACTGTACGACAAACAGGAAGAACACTCAGATATCCCCATGTACTTCCCTTTCTCGGACTCAGATGCATTCAACGAGTAAAACATGTTCAACTGGAAATCATATCCAGAGAGTAATCCAATGACTGCAGATGCGATAGCCAACACATACCCATTCTTTACAAAATAAAATACCATAACACACCCCAGAATGATTGCAAGAGAAATCAAATTGAGTGTCAATTTGTATTGCCAAATTGTTATTCTCCCTAATATAAGGTATGCAAACAACTGCGAAATATTCACAATAAACAGTAAGATACCGACAAGCACATCAGAGTCTTCTATAATACCTGGAAGAGTCACATTGGTTCGTTTAGCATAATTAATATATTGATTGGAAATAACTCCAACAATGGCAGTGACAAAGCAATGGAAAACAATTGAGTTGATGTAATACCAGAAGTAATGGATGGGTCTTTTCGAAATGACTTGTGTGTGTTTGATAACACTCAAATCAATGTGTGCTTCGCCCTTTTCTTCAGAGATTCGTGGTGTTTGTGATTCACTCAAGACTACGCCATCTTGCTGTTCAGTGACTACAACTGGAGTCTTAGGATCACCCGTCATCTGTATTTCAGTTGTATACTCCCTTTCCTTCTTCTCGATTTGTGGAAGAGCCTCCAACTCAATGTTAATTTCAGGCACCGTCTCCTCCTTCAAGTGATTGTTTTGTGGGAATCGAGTGATAATGAAAAACAACAAAAAAGCTTCAGCGCATGCCAAATATAAACTGTAAGTCTGTCCAATAAGTCCATATAAAGTGCCAGCACTTAAAAATCCAACAGCTTTGCCACAAGCAAAAGACATAGAAAACATTGAGATGTTTTTACTCTCCCCGCCCGCATAACTTTCATTGCCTACTAATGCTTCTGTTGGTGACCAGTACATAGCTAGACCAAGACTTTGAATCAAACAAATGAAGTAGATTGGTATAGTCTTAGTCTCTGTTATATAGACCATAGCTATAATTAGACTCGTTAAACAATGTAAACAAGCGCCAAAGCGCGCCATAGTTTCAGGTGGTAATTTATCAGCTAGCCGCCCACATACAGGAGCCATAAATCCTTGTGCTGTAAAAGCAACAGCAGCAACTAACCCAATTTCCATAGGAGAAGCCCCCAAATCACGCATCATAATGGGGATAATCAACCAAAAGAAATAGACGGAGAAGTTAAGACAGAACGCAGAAACACAGTACGTCGTCAGGTTATATGTGTGTAATATCTTTTTCTTCAAGTCGGCGTTGATATTGAAGAAGTTCATGTGGATTTGTAATTCTATTGTGTACTTAACAAGTAAACCTACCCGTTCTTTTTACAAAGCAGTACTATACCGTATAATTAATACAACCATAATTATATTAATATTTTGATAAGTCCTGTTTTCAATTTTTGTGATGGAATTTGAAATTATTTCTTATAAATTTGCTATAAATACAGTTAAATAACGGGTAAAATCCAATTATTCAACAACGATGAATTCAGAAAAACGAACTTACAATTATTCGAATGGCAAATAACATTTTGTTGTAAAAAAATGAAGGGTTATATCGATAACAATCAAAGAATTATAAATTAATGGTATTGAATAGTAAAGTATGCTTTTGTTTTGAAAATATTTTTCAAATATTTTTAAAGTGTCGAAATGATTTGCAAGAATCAACAAGTACTAATATTTATTTTAATTTATATATAGAATTAATTATTATAATTTTATTAAACATTTATATTAAAAGAAAAATATTATTATTAATAGAATATTAATAATATAGTATATTATTAGTCTTCTTCTTTATACATATAGGCTTGAATACAACCATCTTCATCACTCTCATCATTTGAATATTCAACATCATATTGATCAACGTCTTCATCAATCATTTGTTCTATTTTTGTTACTCTATCGCTTGTATCAATTTTGTTCATTACTTTCTTCTTATGAGGCTTCTTGTACTCCTTTTCAATACAACCTTTTTCTTGAATAAGTTCCCAAGTCTTATCTGTTTTTGACCAATGCTCTTCTGTTAGTATATCTGTCTGTCGAAGGGAAACGCAATTCCATTGCACTTCCACAGTTTGTTTTATATAAGGGCTGTCATTATAATAATAATTCAATATTTCCTTTGTTAGATGTACTCTGGCTTCAGCATCTGTTTGATAATATTGTGGACATGTTCTTCTTTTCGACCTTAAATATTCAATCGCAAACACCATTTTGTCTTGTTCAAATTTTAAGAAGAAGACGTCTTCCATGTTTATTGTGTAAATTGCTTTGATGTTACTTCCAGTGACATCGACTGAATTACAATTATATGGAATTCCAACATACTCCAAATTTGTTGGTGCATTCAGAACCAAATCTTTTGTATTTAAGACAACAACACTGCGATTTCTTTTTTCGTCATGAAAAGTATCATCTGGTGTAACATCAATTCTATTTGTACATTTGATGACGAGAACATTCATTTGGCGTTTCATTGGTTTAAACGATTGAATGACACCAGAGAGTTTCACATCATATCCAGAACCAGTCACTGATAATCCATCTCCATTCCCATGAATTGTAACACACCCATAGACATATGGAAGATTTATAGTTCCTTTCCTTTTCAAATTGGTTACTGTAACATCTTTGAGATCAACACAGAACGTCAAATCAAT